TAGGTATGCATGTATGCATGTTTCTATGTGTATATGTGTGTGTGTGTGTGTGTGTGTGTGTGTGTGTATGGATAGATGATGGATGGATGGATGGATGGATGGATGGATATACTTTCAATTGAGCAGGATTTTATATTTGTGGAAAACTTGTGGGGATAGCATTGTTAGATAAATAAACTGTATTTCTTTTATATTTTTGTATCATGTAGCTATTCTTTCTTTCAAATTCCCTTCTTCCTTCTCATTTCAATCAATTGTATTCATTCCATAGGAAATTCCCTGGAAATTTGACAATGGAAACAGATAATTAGTTTGAAACTTTCCTGTGGAAAGGATTGTTGGCTAATTACGTGTTATTTTTCCCTCTCTTCTCACTTTACAATTTTCTGTTAAATTACATTTTTTATCACATCAAAAGCATCTATAGAACTGAGCCAACACTGCACACAGAAATTACATGTAGATTTTTTTTTTCTTCCAAGCATTTTTCCTGCTTTTTTTCAGATCACCCAAATGTTGATCCATTGGTTGTGACAAGAATTGACCAAACGGCTTGTCACCAGAGCCTGACATCATGGGCTGAGAGACAGTGACTGGTCCAAAATCACCCAACTGGCTTTCATGCCCAAGGTAAGACTAGAACTCATGGTCTCCTGCTTACTAGACCAAACTGTAGAATATTTATGTTAATTTGCAGAAAGAGCAAAAGAAGAAATAAATACATTGCACTTAATAAATAAATAAGCCTTAAAATAGTATTTTATACTTTAGACCAAGTATTAGATTTGAGATACAGTCATGAATCTTTACTGATCTTTCAAAAGGAGTCTTTCAATTTATATACATTCTTCTGCCATCTTACATGGTCTAAGTTTTTTAAACAGATTTAAGCAATTTGCAAAAAAAAACAAACAAGTAACAATAAAAAAAACATTCAGCAAACAATATGAAAACTAGTATCTCAATAAGAATATGCATTATGGACATGGTGTGTTTGATCTGTAGATGTGAGTCTTGTTGGGCCCTCAAGATTTTTGTTTTCTTTAATTGTTTTTTATAATTCCATTGTGTTTTTATTCTTCTTCACTGCTCAGAATTCATTCTGGTAGATGGGCAGCCATATAAATCTCTTTAATAAACATACAAATAAATAAATGGACATATCGCCTATGCATACAGTTTAATCATTTTAGTGTGCCCTTTTGGTGCAAAGCGGTTGCTTTAGTCTAGTTGTCTTTCTGTCTGTAAAGTGGTTGCTAGTTAAGCAAAAGCAAGAATTTTAAAACGTGTTTATACATTTTAAACCTCACACATCAAGAAAAAGAAAGGAAGGAAGGAAGGAAGGAAGGAAGGAAGGAAGGAAGGAAGGAAGGAAGGAAGGAAGGAAGGAAGGAAGGAAGGAAGGAAGGAAGGAAGGAAGGAAGGAAGGAAAGCCAAGGTATACCCCAGTAAGTAAATAACAAAAAATGATACAGCTCTATCCTTCAACAATTTTTCATCACTTTTCACCTCATGGAAACCACTCCATAGGGCCCAGCCCCTTTAGTCTGAATCTCCCCAGTGGGCAAAGAGGAAGGCATGAGCTTCTTTCCATTAATATGTAGGGAGGAATAGAAAAGCCAAAGTATCATCTGATGTGGAAGCCTTTCAAACTAATAATGGAACATGAAAGTTATTGTCTATTAGACCTGAGCAAAACTTCAAAGAGATGCTTCACTTTGACAAAGGTTTCAACAAAACATCCCCTCAAAGCTGCTTTGTAAAAGTTTCCTCTCGGTTCAATATTCATGTGATTACTAGAGTGAAGTGCCAGCATGGTCTCCTCCAATATAGGCCCTGCAATATTCTGTTTATTAAGAGTTACCTCCCTCCACTTTGCAGACATAGGGACATCTATGGGACCTTCTTGACAGTTATATTACAAATGTACTACATTTAGACACAGATGCTGCAGTAGTAATTGCCGGCAGTGGAGGTAATGGCACCATTTTACAAGCTCATTTTAATTGGTCTCCTCCCCCCAAAGAGGGAACTTATTATTCCCATGTCAAACAATCTAAGAAGAAGCATAGTAATGTGGCAGGCTTTTGATTGGCCCAGTTAGTTTGGAGATAATTTGGACCTTGTCATTCTTAGTGGCACTACTAGGGAAGATTCCAACAGGGAACTCACCTTCTGGGGCTCTAAAGAGGCCAGTGTGATAAATTCTATCTTGGTTTCACACAACTGTGTTCACTTAACACATTTTTGTATTAGAAATTGCTTTGACAGTAATCACTTCTCTTGCCTGCTTAATCCTAAAGCCAGTACTAAATTCCTAGAAAAAGCCCACCATCCTCTTGGTTCAATAACAAAGGGGGAGGTTCGGTATAAATGACCTTCAAGAGGGCAAAAGACCTGCTAGCTCTCTGGAATTCAGATCCTGTTCTTCAGCTTCACTCTCAAATCTGCTTAGCAGACTACTCCCAGCAGGTGCACTATCAGTCTATTTTTATCACTCTTTGAACTGTTTTGTCAAGATTACTTTCAGACTGTCATAGTCTCCCTCATATTAGATCCAAACCCCAGTTCAACACTGATTGTATCAAAGCAAAAAAGGTCCTGTTCATGGCAGTAGATGTTTTCTATGTTAACAACTCTCCAGGTATGTTATAAATACTCCTAGAGGAAAGGAAGAGCTACAAAGCCCTTCTAAAATCAAAGGAAAGGAAAGCAATAATGGAGAAATGGAGGAGCTTAATTGCAACTGCTAAACTCAAGGACCCAGATCTGGAGATTTTCCATTTTTAACCCTGAATGGGGCTGCACTCCCCCAGTCAGAGCTGATGATATGAAATCCAAGTGTCCTCGTAGACTCACAGCTCTTGCTGAAAGAGCAGGTGGTGATTGTGCCTAGGAGGACCTTCACCCAGATTAATCTTTTGGACCAACTCTTTCAGGATTAGGGGAACCTTAGGCACAGAGAATTATGTTCTAAGTAATCTTCTCTTTGGATTAATCTAATGCACTGTACATGGGTCTGCCCTTGAAGAGCATTAGGAAGCAGCACCTGGTTCAGAATACAGCAATGCTGGCAGCTTTTGGCATTTTACAACACACTCATATAACATAGCTGATCCATGAGCTGCACTGGCTCCCAGTAGGCTTCTGGGCACAATTCAAGATGCTAGTTATTACCTGTAAAACCCAATATGCCATAGGACCAAGCTATTTGTAGGACCTCCTGTCTCCTATTGTCTCTGTTTGTCTCACCAGAACTGATAGGGAGGGGTTGCTCTGGGGTCTCTTCTATCAAGCAATCTTATCTTGTTGGGCCCAAAAGTCATGCCTTCTCTGTTGCAGTGCTTGCCCTGTGAAACAGCATCCCACTAGAGATCCAGATGGTCTTGACCCTGTTAGTTTTCATAAGGTACTAAAGACTGGCTGTTCCCTTAGCCATCTGGGCCAGAAAGTTAAGAGAGATCTACTAGTTGATTGATTTTATTGCTGTTTTTCTGTGTGGTAAATTGGGAGCAATTTTTTTTTCAACCTCAGACATTTGTTATGTAGATTGCTGGTTTAATTATATTGTTTTGGTTTTAATTCTTTGTATGCCACCCAGAAAGGAAAGGTGGAAGGAAAGAGAAGAAGAGGGCAAATAACAGCAAGATGGATGGACTCAGTTACAGTGATGGTGGGTGCACCATTGGAAGACCTGAAGGACCAGGTCAGGGCGAGATTATCATGGAAGAAAATCTATCTATGTGGTCACTAAGAATCAACATTGATTTGATGGCACATAATCAGTCAATTCCCCCTCAGTGAGATGGGTGGCCATATAAATTGTTTAAGTAAATATCTAAACAAAGTTTATTATCTTCTGGTGTTTACTTAACAACTCCTTTAATGATAGAGGTTTCAGTTCAGTCTGTCAAATATTTTCAGACTCCTGGGAGAACTATTTCCAGAATATTTTCACAATGGAATCATTAGCCAATCTAGCTGTGATTTATTCTTGAAATATTCTTCCTGACTGGCTTCCCATGTCCACATCTGACTCAAAAACTTAATTTTACAACTGAAAACTGGGAAAGCCCTGAGAGGAGATTCTATTCCCCCTGGAATTATTAAGGGAGAACAAGGATTGGGGCTCCAATGCTGGCTGTCTTATTCACTCATATTAACAGCTCAGCATGTCTTCCTACTGACTGGAGTCATGTCTTTGTTATCCTATTCTATAAAAACAACAGAAATAGATTACACCCTGCCAATGAAGGACCCATCAGCTTGCTTAATACAATCAGCAAGCTGTATGCTAAATGTCTCTACTATTAGTCTGGATTGAAAGTGAAAACATCGCACTGAGGAGCAGGTAAGCTTCAGAGGAGAGTGATCAACTTTGAGCTATTGTCTGGTTCTTCTCTATTTAGCTGAGAAATATTTTCCCAGTCCAGAGGTGACCTTTTCACAGCCTTTGCTGATTTTAAATCAGCCTTTGATTTACTTCCAAGGGAGAGGCTGTGGCAAAAACTAAGGGGATCATCAGTAATAAAAGGTTGCTTCTTCCCATTCAGTCCCTTCATTCCAACACCACTTTGAAAGTGTGTCATGCCTGTTTCTCACATGGGAATGAGAAAGACACTGAGGGCTTTGGCGTCTTTCTCCTCATAGAAAACTGTAGTAATAAACTATCAGAAAACTAAAGTCCTAGTATTTGCACAAAGTTTCAGTGTAGTTCCTCAGCTATCCTGAGATTTTTTCCATTTGAAAGGAGCCCCCTTATCTCTGCAGCTTTCAAAGTCTTTATAGCCAAAATCATTTCCCAACTTCTCTATGGTGTTCAAGGCAATACTTTTAGAAACCTTGACAGCCTTGAAACTAAACTTAGATTAGAACTATCCTTGCAGTCCCAAGATGCATTAAGAATGCTGCACTACATTTAGCAACAGGCTTGGTCTCTGTGGATGCTAGAGCTCGGTATCATCATTTTAAATATGCTAATGTTAACCTTTATTCCAATTGATCTGGTCCCATTGGTTCTTAGAGACCCTTTAAATTGTCCCAGTTAAAAAAAAAGTAATTGTCAAGCTTCACTCTAGGACTCTCATTGGAGAGCCTTTGCCCATTAGGGTTTGGCAACACCTTAAGCATCCTTAATAGTGTATCTGGAGCACTTATTTTCAGATCAATCTAAGTCTGTTCCCAGCCATGCAGCAAGTTGGGTCTTTTCAAAGGGGTATGTGCCAGCCACCTATCTCTCCTCTCCACAGTCCTGAAATTGCACCTGACCTCCACTTTGGCCAGACTGGATGCATTGCCTTCTGCTGTTCTTTTGGGGTCTTACAAAAATACTCTTACACACACATACAATCAATGTACATGTACTTGTGGGGATGGATCAGTAGAGCCTTTCAGCCTTATATTCTTTCATTGCTCTCTCTAGAGGGAACCCTGGATTATTTTTATCCATCTTATCCTGAAGAAATTCCCTGGCAGAGAGCACTATTCTATTTGTCGCTTCTACTGTCCATCTGTTGTTCAGCTATATCTTCTTGGGTTGCTCCTGTGGACTATTCACCTCCTTCTATGGTGAACATTGTACATTAAACATTGTACACTTCCTCCAGACAGCTAGCCAAAGGAGGTGAGTAGTCTGGAAGAATATCTATATATAACCATCCAGCTAATGGACAGTGCCTAACCAAACATGGGAAATTAGCATGAAATACTAAATCTGTAAGTTAGACTGGAAAGTTAAAAAGGAAAAAAAAAAAATCCCAGAAGAAAGCAAAGAGAAATTGCTTTCATGTTGTTTCCAGAGAAGTATCAACACATCCATGAAGTCACCAACAGTCAAACTCAACTCATAGGAGACCTTACCTCTTCATGTAACAGCACTGAACTGAAATATTTTACTTTTATTCATGTTCAAAGTTCACATTCCTTCATCATAGAGCCAAGGGAATTCTGAATTACCCAAGTATTAAATATTTGTATTTTAAAACAGAATATTGCTTAAGTAACCATTTTATAGAATTGCGTGCTATAGAGAACATTTGCTAACAACATCTGAAAATAGTCAGAGAAATTAAAAGAACTTAGAGCATCGTATGTCAAGATTTTATTTTTAATACTTTCCCTGATGTTAGTAACAAAGCAATAATTAGTTTCCCAATATTCCAGGTTGTTGTTCTTCTAGAATTTCCAACAAGCTGTTACAGAAGTGTTTATTAACAAAGAAAAATCTGTTGTTCACCACTGTTTAATTGCCAGGTTGGATTCCCATTTCTTGCACCTGTGTTCCTGTGGCTATACATGGAAGTTGAATAAGCTCACACTCTCATACAAATTTGCATGTTGAAGTGTGGAACAAAGGATACAAAATGGACCAAAAAACAAACACTGGCCATTTTAAAGGAGTGCTTGCAATTTGCTAGCAATTTGCTTTCCTCTTCCATTACCAAACAAACATCTCAAGTTTTAAAAGATCCTTTTTTTTTTCTTTTTCCATTTCAGTTCACTCTTGGCATACCTTGGTGATATATACCACATACCTTTTACATACCACATACTAAGGCATAAACTAGGTTGTAGAATCAAAAAGACTGGGTTAAGATTCTACACTAAAAGCAAACCAACCATGCTATGGGTTCTCACATTTTGTGAATCCAGTCTTTGTTTTATGATTTGGATAAGGTAACTGTAAAAATCAGCTTATCGATGCACATTTCTGCAAGCAGAAATTCTGAACCAAAGCCAGTAGATTAATATGACAGAGCAGAAACTCTATAGAGGAAGATGGCATTAGTCTTTAGCCATTTTTGAAAATATACATTAACAGTAGAGCAGCACTTACAGGTATGACTTTTCCATCTTCATCACAGACACACATGTTGACTTCTACATTTCTCTGAGTAGTTTTATTAAATTTATCCAAATCTCCACATAGCAAGGTAATATAGATGTCATTTCTTACATCACCTGTGAAAGAAATGCAAAAAGTTAGAAGCAAGTAGTTATGGTGACAAAACACATTAAAAGCTATTTCTTCCATACCCAGAGATATATGGAACATTCAAGGGGAAAATAAAGTTAATCCTGATGTTGACTTCATTGTCTCTTCAGGAAAAGTCTGATTGTACAGTACTTCCTTCATCAATGCATAATCCTCATTCTGCAGTGACACCTTCTGGTGAACTTTGGTCACATCAGCTGACTGAGAAAGTGGCAAAGGATAACACAGCATTCAAAGAACGGGGCAATGAGGGCCATGCAGTGACTGAGCAAAAATAGAGGTGAGGGTAGGGAGACAAAGACTGGGAAGGGCAAATTTCACTGCTTGCAAACAAGACTCTTTCATCTTCGCTTAAAACACTTTGGACAAACATAAGGAAGAGCAGACAGATTCTACTCCCTCCTTATAGGAAAAGGTTTTTCTTACTTGGCTTTGAAACTATGGAAGACACATCTCTTCCACCAGACCTTGAGTAGTCAATGATTTTAATTTACTTTTGAAAAACTCTTTGTATTGTTTTTTCCTGTGTGAAAGTTTCTTTAAATTGTAAGCTATTTTATGTCAAGTAAGAGGGTAAGAATATAAGTAGGCAAATAGAACAAGAGTAACATCCCACCCCCACCCCCATAAAAACATGCCTATACACTAATATGCAGAAAACTGTAGCAAACTGAAGACTGGAAACCAGCTTTTGATAAAGAGCTGCTAATGTAAAAAAGGAAAGGAAAGGAAAGGAAAGGAAAGGAAAGGAAAGGAAAGGAAAGGAAAGGAAAGGAAAGGAAAGGAAAGGAAAGGAAAAACAGCATTTAGCTGTTGGGCTCAAAATCCTTAGAGGGTAACCACTTTTCAGAAGTGCTTCTTGTTTTTATGGGCCTCAAGGCAGTACTCATGTTCCTGCAAATCCTGCAGCTGGCTGGCATCATTTCCTTCAGTCAGTAGGATCCAAATTATTTGGGTGCCATTAATTCTCCACTAGAGATGGAAATATTATTTGAAGAGTGGTGACTCATAGATCTGTTCTTTTTACATAAATTCTAGACATGACAAAGCCATAAAAATATAATAATTAAGAGCCAGAAGGATTTAAGCAGAGATAAGGAAGTGTATTTAAAGAAAAGCTATATTGCAATTTGGTCATTTTATGCATAATTGAATGGACCTTCGGAAATTAAAAACGATATATTAATTGATTTAGATATGTTTGGATTAATTTAATTTTGACGTAATGAAGAGCTATAAGAAAATGTAAATCCCAGTAATGATGCTTTTCACTTTCCCCCTGATGTCTTGGAGAAAGTGGGGGAGGGAGGGAGTGGGGGAGGGAGGGAAGGAAGGAAGGAAGGAAGGAAGGAAGGAAGGAAGGAAGGAAGGAA